CATATACATATACATATACATATATATATATATATTTTTTGATGCTTGGGTACCTCAAATGGCAGGTTCCACGCCAAGTTGACGTTGTGTTTGTATTCATCCATCCAGACCTCTGCTACCCTCAGGGCATTTCTCTTCATGGCAGGACTCAAGTCCGGCAAATAAGGCTTGTGGTACCTTTCAATGTGAGCAATCTTAGAACATGGAACTACTTCAATACTGCCTCCACAGGTCCAAACCTTCAGAAAACAAATGAAGAAAACTATTTAAGTACTGCTTTTAACATAAAACACAAGGCCACCTATATGTGATCCCAATCATCCTGATAGTTCTGAAAGTTTTGTAATACCTCGCATACTTTGCTCTTTACTCATTCGTTTACAGATTGTCTATCAGGCATTTGATGATGACCTTTTGCCTAAACCTCTAAAGATAATCTGATGTATGTTAAACTTGTTCAGATGTTCTTTTGTAGATCTGTGATCCTGAATTTTGTCATGAAAGTACAAGAAAAAAATCAGTTTGATGACCTTTTCAGAAAGGTTAATTTGTGCACCACCACTAAACTTCCTTAAAGGTCTTCATCGTCTTTGATGATGCTTAGTGGGCATCAGTTACATAATACATCTAACTGCTTAGCTGTTGCTTTGATAAGGCAGCTGGCTGCTAACTGCTGAGTCAAACATTGAAGTAAAACGTGTCAAACATTGCCTGAACTGGATCTTTATCTGCAATTGGCAAAAAACAGGATCCAAAAATATCATTAGGATCTGAAATTTGAATAAAACATTAGCTGCTTTATATCAGACAGTGCACCAGCTCATACATGAATGCAAAATTCATATCAAATGTCCAGCAACAGGTAAAACTATCAGGATGAATTAGTCTGAATAAAAACTTTACTTAACTTTTAATTTAATTTTTTTTTACTGGTTTTAGTAGTAAATTCTAGCTTTAATGTAAAGTGAGAAAAATAAACCTTTATATTTTGTTGATTGCATGACTTGATTGCTTAAACTCTGACAGTACGTCACAAGGTGCTTGATTTGGAGTTTTTATTTTTTAGAGGTTTACTTACACGAATTCCAAGCTCTACATTTTCTCCACCGTACACTTTCATCCCTTCGTCAAGAACTCCGATTTCTCCAAGATARGCTCTATCAGCCACCAGGATTCCCATGACTGATGGGCTTCTAAAACAAAGGGAGGGAGCCGTTAAGAGTTGTTCCCTCATTGTTTTGGAACCTGCATAATTTCCCATGTGTTAAATTCTAACCATCATTTCAGCAAACTCCAGACAACAAGCAGTAGGTTTTTGTGTATTAAGTWCCTATTATTTATTGCACTTCTCCTGTTTATGTATCGTGTCTAAAGTGGATAATTTTATTTTATCTTAAAGGTGCAGTATGACATCTGTTTCAGAGGGGGACACAGGAAGTGTACCACTGCAACCCATTCAACCCTTATTAAATTAAGACCCTTAAATAACTTTTTAATGTAAACATGTTTGAGTAGAAATAAGCATACTGAAGTCTATCAAAACAGCATACCCCCTCACAAACACTGACAGACGGAGCTTTAAAAATCAGCTTCCTGTAGGCTGTTCTGACAGGGTATACCACAGTGACAGAACACTGGTTTGGTCCTGCACAGGTGCCTAATCC